AAAAAAAAAAAAAAAAAACCTGATGCCAATTTTTTTTTTTTTGTTCAATGGCATAGGGTGCCATTGGGTGCAGTTCCTAATGACATCCGGATAGAAGTGTCAGGTGGCTATATATATATGGGGTCTGTAGTTCATTGTCTGGGCCTGGTGTGCGAAGTTCCCGTTCGACAAGGTTCGTCCGCTTCCGACATTCCAGAAATTCGTTATGAACCTGTCAGCCCGCTGCCACTCAGTGTCACACTGGATCGGGCACATTCCTATCCGACCGCTAATGGGACCATGCTCCTAGACTTTGTGGTTAGAGGTAAAAAAAAAAATGACGGGATTCAACGGGATTTAACGGGAATTCAACGGGATTCAACGGGATTCAACGGGGATTCAACGGGGACTCAACGGGATTCAACGGGATTCAACAGGATTCAACGAGATGGATTTTATTTTTTTTTCCACGCACGTTCAGCCACGTGTCCGAGGCCCAATGCGCCTTCCTCGTTGAACAGTATTCAATGGGGAGGGCCCGTTGTTCTATTCAACGGGGATTCAACGGGGCCCCGAGGGTTATTCAACGGGTAGAACGACGTTGAAATTTTTTCGTTGCACGTTGAATAGGCACATAGTTTTTTTTTTTTTTTTTTTTTTTTTCTCTCTCTCTGTGTGTTATGTTTTTAACTGAATGCATATGCATTCCTCTTGAACTCTCATCATGTTTTTGTCTCGTATTTCCTCCCGACTATTGTTGCAAGCCAAAGAAGGAGGATTGCCCACGTCTTGTAGTCTCTACTCCACAAGGACTTCCTCTCTTTCTTCAAAAATATCAACAAATCTATGATCATTGTTCATGCGAATTACTTCCTCTTTCTTCTTTCTCCTTACACAGTATAGGCGTTCCCATATATTTATGGAACTGTGCACAACAGTTTTATCTCTGTCGAGAGAGACCACATTGATCGTCACTTTTCTGATACCAGTCTTGCACGTTGTTATGATGGCTTCTTCAATTGTTCTCCTTTCCTTGCTTAATGGAGCCGTGCGTGCAGGTCGACTTCTTTTATTGATGTGACAATTCAAGACCATATGGGAAAATGCGAGTTGATGAAGGGTGCAACCACTCCGGCCCACGTCGTTGCAATCTTTGTACAACACATCTTGCACTGTGGTCTTGAACTCCATTGCGCCCCATGGTTCATCGCCTTTAATCCTCCATGACGAATCTTCAATCATTCTCTTCCGTATCTCCTCTCGCTTCATATCCAAACGATCTTTTATACTTCCACATAGATAGGGCAACCTTACTGCTATCCAAAAAACTCTAACAACGTCATAAGCAATCTCCCTTCTGAGCCGAGCGTGCGAATCACCGAAGGTCCTTTCCATCCTGTCATGCGATGAACAATATCTTGTGCCTTCGTGTCAAGAGAATTAACGACTTCCATGAAGGTTTCCATATACACCTCAATTGAGGGGTATATCTCT